GGTGCACAAACAACCCATTCAGCCCCTCCCCATATCCTGAATATATAAGCTAGCCTGAGAAAAGTAAAGTTTGCCATTGATCAGAATCCTGTCTTGTGGTCCTTCTTTCTGCGTCTCTTGTCCCCATTCCCTATCCCTGACTCTCTTGCCCCGGTTGATGTCCTGCTGGTCAGGACAACTTCTGCCATTACACAAAATCCACTTCTTTTTAACCTTACACCTATTGTTATTTCCTTGTCCTAACTTGCATGAATCAGGTCTCCATCTGCCTAGGCTATCCTTCTCCCTCACAAAACCAACAACAAAGACAAACAGCAAAGCAACAGTAAAAAGGAACCCTCCAGGGAAAGAACAGTGGAAGGTATTTTAGTCAGTTCTACTATGAAACACAAACTGACAAACATGTGGCTAGCAAAGGTCAATAACCAATGATTTTCTCCAGTTAAGTTTTTGTTGGTTGGGCTGTTTAAATGGCTAAATGAGCTTGCCCCTAAGCCTGATGACCCAAGTTCAATTCCTAGTTTAAAGAAAACTGACTCCTGTAGGTAGTACTCCCAATACACACACAGATACACACACAGATACACACACACACACACACACACACACACACACACACACACACAGAGAGAGAGAGAGACAGAGAGAGAGAGAGAGAGAGAAGTAAAAAGCAATAAATGTAATTAGAAAAATTATATTTGCATTTCTACTATAAAACTGAAGATTGCCCCACCAACTCTGTCAGCTATGGCCAGCCTTTCTCAGATGTCCCATTCTGCTGTTTCTTCATCTACAGTGATGCTGTCCCCCACAGGCTTCCCATGTAAATACTGGAGAAAGGCACAGAGTAACAACTACAGCTATCTATCTGTCTCTGGCCAGTAAGAGCAGATTATTTTCTCTCATGGGACCCCCACTATCAGAACTTTCAAGATACAAGTTTTTTCTTGTTTTCTCTGGAAATTTGAACATATCAAATGCACAGTGGAAGCAGTTGCTATAATCTCTATTCTTGTCAGCCACTCAAACAGCCTCATTATTTGGTAACCATAAACATGGTTTGAAGTACCTGCTCCTGCCAAGCTGACATCTTCCAGTTCTGGGGCTAAATGATTGAATGTCCAAGATTACAGTAGAAAGGGACAAGGAGGTGTTTCAGTTCTTGATGGTCCGTTAAAAGCCCCTGGCCTAAAACAGCTCTCTGTCTGAAAGACAGTACATTT